CCGTTGAAGTACCACTTTATAGAGGAGGCCTCAACTTAGATTTACAGCAACGAGCAAATCACCGATCGCTCTTCGTTACTGTAGGATTGCGGTAAGAACTTCCAGCATGTGGAACCATTGTGAAATATGCCATCAAACAAAATTTTCTCAAAAAATCTGAAAAATCGTATACTAGGGTTTTCGCGCACGCCGATTCCGCACAACTTTTTATGAGCGTTTTCAGCTTTTCTGACAATGACTTTACACTTCCGACAAATGCTGGTAACTCGGTTATTACGGTTTACCTGGGATAACTTAGGAAAGAAGCATCAGAGTCAAGTGGAAGTTTCATATTCGAAATCAGCGGCTTCCACTACCATAGTATAAGAGTTTTTGGCTTGTTTGGTTTTGTTCCGAGGCAGAATATGGCTTGCAACGGCCTAAAATCCTTGTCAAAGTTCCTACAGTAATCCTACAGTAACGAAGAGCGATCGGTAATTCGCTCAACATTGTAAATCTAAGTTGAAGCCTCCTCTAGAATGACTTTTAAATGGCTGAAAAAGACACAATGGGAAGAGAGATATTAACGATTGAAAAGTGTGTACTTACTTTTGGGACACCCCGTATTTGACTTGAATGATCACCATATGGTAAAACGATTCGGAAGATACTCGTTTGAGCGCCAAAAATGTACTTTTTCAGTGAGAGTCCAATACGTTCCTATCCAGTTGCAGTTGCTCTATCGAGGGCTCCAAGAAAGACCATGATATAGTAAAAATGCATACAAACTGGTGCACCTATGTACCTCAAATTATGTTCCACAAAAGATGGTAAAACGGTAAAAAATAGCTTCCACAGCAACCACAGTGCGTTTTGGTCCATGCAAATCGTTTGCAGAACAACGCATTTATTTTAACACAACATACAATGCCTTTGAGGAGGCCAGCGCCGCGTAGTGCAGTCACACATCTACGCGCGAGCGTTACTGTACGCGCAGCGTGCAGGAACCATGCTGCGCAGAATATCGCGGGCCTTGTTTCTATCATTGTAATTCGTGGTTTTCCGCTTATGTAGCAATGGATTGCCATTTTTCTTGCTTCTATGTTCACATGCGATCTGTCATGGTGCCGGATATGATTTTTTTCGCAGCACAGGAAGGAGGTATCAAATCTTTGAGGGTTTCTCCTCATGACATCATTCATTTGATCCAAGCCTTCTTCGGATGGCTAATTCCGGATGTCATGATCCATTATATCTACTCGTGCTTCAAAAACATAAATCGTATATCGTTTAGGTTTAAGTGAACAGCGCCGACGTGCTATTCACTCAAACTGTTCCTCCAACCTATACGATATACGATTACATCTTACAATATTTACCTTTAGCTCTAATGAGGAAGAGCACCAGTCGTTTTCCGAATTCTCAGAAATGATCCAAATTACATCTTTTTTCGAAAGACCTCAAACCTCCATTTCGTCTTCCTTTCGCGCGATGATACTTCAAGAGATCTCGAGAAGTACTTAACTAAAGTTTCAGGCAGGAAATCCTCAGAAATAGGGAAGCGTGACAGCGATTAAGCTGAGAAAGAAGCGGGAAGAGTGGCGAAAACAAGGACGCCGTTTCTTCTAAGGAGAGTGGCCGAGAGCACTTTCTAAGCAACAGCTCATTTAAGCCATGAGGCCGAGTAGTTCAGCACCAACTCCAGCCCAGAAGCATACTCCTCGTAATCGAATACACTGACTGGTCCGCTCGGAAATAGTATGGTCTGGACTGGAATTCGAAGCCGAATTTCTCGGCCACAAATGAATTGTATGACCTGCGTCTAGCTAGGAAACCAATCTGAATAAGAAGTTTCTAGAAATCAGGTAAGTGGGACACAATGAAGTAGACAGCGATACATAAAGAAAACTTTTGTAACATCCTCAGTATACTTGGGACTGAATCGAATGTTTATCCGATCATTCGAATAAATCATTTGGAATAATGATTCGAAAGGTCGAATATTCGAAAATTCGGAGGTCGAATATTCGAGATGTTCAGTTTTCGAATATTCGAATATCGAATATATTCGAAAATCTCAACTTTCGAGTATTATTCAAAAGTCGAATATTCTATGGTTATCAACTCGACTATTTGATGGTCATCGAATATTCGAATATTCGATGAGCATCGAATGATCGAACTCCATATAGGCAAAGCACTTCATTGCAGAAATTACAATCAACCTACAACTCTCATTGGGGAGTGTATATGTTTTGTGGTCCTTTCGCGTAGTCTGTATAGTAGTCGTAGCGCGCCATTTCCCGCAGTATGAAATAGCCAACGATTTTTCGTGTACCCTCCAGCAATTACACTCGAATCATTTCATATGATCATGTCCTCCAAGAATCTAGGATAGGAACGCCAAAGGTGGACAATGTGTGCAATGACACAATGATCATATGAAATGATCCGACTGTATACTATCCGTGCAGCTGAACTCATGATCGAAAACGAAGTCTAGCATTTCGTCTGTTCAGCTGTAGACGTACCGGTTCGAATCGATTGCAGATCGTACTGTCCCTCACAGGCTCTGACGAAGGCGATCTGCCCAAATGTCAGCCGTGAGTCAAATAAATCGATTACCCTATTAATAATGAAACGAATCTCAGGACTTAGCCCTGGAGGATAGGCGTTTTGGGTGTGTACGGGTATAATTGAATTATCAAGGAAAATAACTGGGATTTTTTCCATTTTTTGCATTTTCATTAAAATTTCGTCAAAATTCGAGTTCTTCGCGTTTTCCTGCCTCAAAATTCAAAAACTTAGACGAAACACGTCTAAAGTGTGATAAAAGCTTACGGGCGACCATTCTGAAGGAAGGTTGCGTGGCCGTTTTTCTTCTCAGCGTAGACACATCTTTGCCGGATATCTGCGCGCGGCGCCCCGCCCCTAAAACTTTTGAAAACCGGAAAAAATCATATTCAGACATTACAGAAAAGGTTGAAAAAATTGTGGGGGTCTTCTTTATTGGAGATCTACCTAACCTGATTTTTTGGTGAATTATGGATGGTTTTTAAAAAAATCGATTTTTCAAAAATTGGCAAAAACTCGGTTTTTCGGATTTCGAGTTACGGTAAAGCTAGGGGTCTGCAATTTTGCACATATGCATCTAGTGTGTGCCTGACTAAACTATAATTTTTTCAGAATTTTAGGATCACCCTGGAGCGAGTTTTGAAAAACCCAATTCAAGACCAGGCCATAACTCGAGAGTGGGCGGGGCTAAGGGGGCGGGGCTATGACCAAAAAATTCTCCGGGTCAAACTGGTCCGGGGGGAACTTGGCCCGAGGGGCAGGGGTTGATGGGGGGTCCGGTACGGCGGGGTAAAGATTCCTGGTTGAGCCTACTGAATTTTCCAGTGGGTCTCACCCAATAAATAAGAGATTTTGCAATATATTGTATCGTCGTGCAATATATTGCACAGCCTATAATGGTGAATTTTTGCTGGTCAACGCGAATACATTGGGAGTGAAAAAATCACTTATTACTATGTAAGTGACGGACCAAAATTTCGAAAATTTTTTTAAAAATTCGGGAAAAATTGGGGAATGCTGGGGGCATAAGATAAAAGGTATTTAAGCATATTAGGGCTTTAGTCAAGGTACTTAGGGACTTTTGAAAAATGTTAAAAGTGGTTTTTGAAGGATTTTGAATGCTCGTATATTCCAAGAATTTGAAAATTTCTAGGATTCTTTGATAAGGTTTAAAAAATAGATGAATGTTAAGGGGATGAGGCGGAAGGTATTCAAGCATGTTAAGCACTAATTTAAGGTTCTTAAGGGTTTTTAAAAAATGTTCAAGGTGGTTTTTGAGGAATGTTGAATGCTCGCAAGGGAGGATTCAGAAAATTCTAGGATTTTTTTAGAGAAGGTATAGAATAATAGATGAGTGTCGCGAAGATAACGTAAAAGGGTTTAAGAGTTGTTGAAATCTTGATTGAGGTGGCTGAGGTCTTTTAGAACTGGTAGAATGAGGGTTTTCGAATGTTTACGAGTGTTTGGATGTTCCGAAACTTCGAAAACCTTTAGAATTTTTTCAGAAAGTCTAGCGAAATAGGTGAATATCTGGAAAAAATCGAAAACCTTTAAAATGTGAAAGTAGTTTGCTTGAGTGGTTGAAAAACTTTTAAAATAGAAGCCAGATAGGTTTTCGAGTACCTAGAAGACGTTGAACGTTACGAAAGTTGGAAAAAAATTCCGAATTTTTTCAAAAAACCGTAAGGGTCATGTGAAAGTATTGAGTAGATAAGCGGATGCAACTGAGGACGTGTCAGAGGCTTTAGTGAGGTTTTTGAAACTTATGGAAGGTCAATGTCAAATAGGTTTTCCAATAATCGAGATATTTTTATAAAGTTTTTCTTAGATTCAAAACTGATTTCGGTGTGATACTAAAGTTATGAAATTTTGAGTCTATTTTATTCTCAACAAACTTACAATATAGCGAATCTTCAGGCAGATTTTATCATTTTGGAGTTTGTTTGTGAGTTTTTCAAGTTTTCCATCTTGGTGGTTGCAAAGACTTTTAGATTTGTTTCTGGAATTATGGAGAGCGAACGTAGAGGTATTGGTCTTATGAAACTATTATTAGAACAATGTTCCACTAAGGCACTGGAGTTTCTGGTTTTCGGATTTTTAGTAAAATTTCTTTTTGAGATGGTACAAATGAACAATGTTAATGCTTGCTTTCGACATGCCCCATTTTTGGATGAAGAAAGCTTTAGGACATATAGTTGAGACGAAATGTGCTAAAAAATTTACTAGTTGTTGTTCGATCGCATGTTCAATATAAATTTATTGCCAATTTGCAGCTTGATATGAGATCATAAGAGGTAAATATGAAAGTGAGACTCAGTTTGGTACTATGTATGACGCACTAAAGACAGCTGTATGATACAAATAAGATATGATACAAAGTAGGAGGCAACTGTATAATACAAACAACTATCTAGTGTGCAGGTTGCAAGGCACACGTACTTATGAAACTATTTATTTTGCAAGAGCTGCATAATTTGTTCATGTGTAAGCTTAGGCTTACGGCGTATCGTCTCCCACGGCTCTATTGTTAGTGATGGAAAATGACGGGTAAGTGGGCCAGCTTCTAATAACTCCAAGTGCAATGGCATTTCGTCAGCTCTGGCTTCCGCCTGACATTCCTACAAACAAAACCATACGAAATCCTTCATAAACTATGCATGCAATCCAGCTTACCACTGCGTAAATTTCTTCGCCCACAACTGCTACGCAGCAGCCGTAACGATGACCGTCATCCTCAAGATGGCGTGAACCCAACAAGATAACCAGCGGTTTTGGATCGTTCCGCTTTCGGTAGAGAATAAGAACAACCGATTCCATGTGTTCAAAAGCAGCTTCCGTCGCTATTTGTAGCAACTGCGCCAAAGGAGATGCAACCTTTACCAGAAACATGGCAGGGTCCGGAAATACATCCTGAATACATCGATGTAATTTCATATCTGAACCTGGGTTAAAAGTGTATGCTTACACTTTTAGTGAAAACAGTACGCCTGCTTATTGCAAATGCAACTCTTGGATCGGCAGCAGGAGTTTTTTCCAGTAGCAATCCTACTGCGCGCGCTTTCTGTGTCACCAGAAATAGAAGTTCTCCAATGTCGAATTCAGGCCTTTCATGTAAGCTAAGATCCTCTTCTGAGAGAGACCGCTCAAAATTCCACACTCTTTGGACATGGATGCTCCGTCTTGCCGATTGTAGAAATGAAGACGAAGCTGTGTGAATCAATGTGCATACAAAAATTATTAACGGAATAAAATATATAAATAACGGAATATTCACCTTCTGTTGCAGCCGGATCGCACACTTGACATATGCACGGATAATTGTCTGGGAAGTTAGGTATGTTTGGATTTCTCTCCGTTCTCCCATAGTTCCACAATAACTGCTCACCAGCCTGCAAAACTATTTTCATTGTGCAGAACTTTTCATTATGTATGAGATGATTTTGCTCAAACTTACCTTGATATCACGTTTGGCTACCAAACAATGCAACCATCGAACACGACGTTCGCCAAAGCGAATACAACGTAGGACTAGATTTGCATGCTCTATCGACTGGTTGATAAGTCGACCAAGCGTTACTGTTGCCTTGTATGAGTCGCAATGTGCAAGTAAGATAAAATCGCAACCACGTCTTCTAAATCCATGCCAATACTTGATTACTTTATGGCGTTCCTCTTCATTGAGTTTTTTGAGAGAATTTCTTATGTCTTCCACCTTTCCTTGATAGCCACTAGATACAAACAATATTATCGTCAAATCAAAAATCTCTATCATTTCAGAAAGTGCTCTTACCGAACATCAGCAACCGCCATTTCTTTAGCGATATCTACCTTGGCGTAAACACCTCGTCCATTGATGGTAGGCATCTCACGCACTTCAAGCCACGGAAAGTCCTTAAACATGCTGTCGTTTCCATTAAACGATTAAATTCTCAAGATACGCACCTGTACAGGCTGTGCATGAGATCGACGTAGAAACTGGTTCTGCTGAGGCACAGTCGCGATCTTTGTCAAACCACCCGTGTAAGGTGTTTCATTCAAAGCCTCTAGGTGCAAACTTGGATCAAGAGGCTCAAACCGTCTTTCGAGATCGGAAATCGTGTATCTAGTGGTGTCAGCTACATCATGGATGGCATGGACGGTTTCACTTGCAGTTGCTCTTGTCACATCACTCATTATTGGCTCTGCACTTGCTTCACTAATTTTCGCCGTAATCTTGAAATTCAGCTTACTGATTTTTTTTTCTTTCTCTTCTTCTTCTTCTTCTTCGTGGTCGTCTTCATCTTCTATAACGATATGCTGCACCAGTCCCTCATCGTTGTCCGTTGGAGGTCGATCGAATTGCTTGAGTGATGAAGATGACGATGCTTGCACTACAAAAGACCCTATGTCACCTTCTTCCAAGCTAACGTTTTCCATCTCTAAGTTCAATACAGAGCTTTCGATCAAGCTTGCAATGCATAGCATAAGATAGAATTACTAAAACAAACGACTTACTTTCTCCCGGCACATCTTCCACTGGTAACGATACCCTCGGGCGTTTCCGTGGCGATGACTCAGTTTCCGTAAGCGGTCGCGAACTTCGTTGTCTCGTATCTGAATTTAACAATTTAAAATATGTGAGCTTATTTTCGTATAAAATGCACAAATTTACCAGCACGTAGGATTGGCTCAGTTTGTCCATCTCCCTTATTTCCTGCGACATCAAGATTTCTCGTTGCTTCTTCCTCATCGCCTTTCTCTTCCAAAAGAATTCTCGTTGCTTCTTCCTCATCGCCTTCCTCTTCCACCACATCATCCTCGTCAAAGTCATCCATTTCTAAATCTTCTTCTTCCAAGTCGGCAAGATGTTTACGACGTTCCAAACTGAAACAACCCAGTAAGATGAGTTTAGCAGAATGTAGAATTGTGATGACACAGTGTTACACCTACTTCGCAAGCTTGAACTTTTTTTTTACTTCTCGAACTAATTCAGGATATTTAGCAGCCTCTTTTCGTCCGAAATTCCGAATCTTTACGTAACCGTAAGCGCAGCTGTATCGGTACCGTTTCTGATAGTTTATCAGTTGGGTTACTTGCGAATGTCCTGTAGCAGAGATTATGATATAAGTTATGCTAAATTTGAGGTACCTGTCGTATGTGCACATTCCTTATCCACTCCTGGCACTTTTGCCATCTCATCTATTTTTTGCTGATAATCATTTTCGTACTGCAAATCTGCTATAGCATGCCTTGTCTGAAGCATAAAAAATCGGAAACGATAGAGAGCAGTTTGAGTACGAATTTAACGCAAACTCCGTGTTAGCAACATACCGTGTTACAAGAAAGGTTTAGGTTTCCAAATCCACTATCTCGCAGAAATTGTTTCATTACGTGAGGAACGGTCATCTGATGAACGCGCGTTCCGCTATATTGCAGAAAGAACGGTGCAAGTGGTTCAGTCATTCCCTCTAAGTGCTGCTTTCGAATGATGCTGCAAAAAAGGACAAACACCCTGCTAATATTTGAAAATATACTTGATTTAATTTTAACTCACTAATTCCGTAACTTTATATAATAATCCATCCATTTTTTCGACTTTTCATCAAGAACAAAATATTGTCCATAAAATGGAATCTTTTCTTGTGCAGCCCTAGCTCTGCTCTTTGGAAGAGGATAGCTGCTGATCTAAACATGTATGTAAGTATTAGTCTATGCAGTAGATCTATGGTGCAACAGCGGATGCACTCACCCAAAGCCTTTCTTCAACTTCATCGCCAAAATCCATGACGAACTCTTGTAGCCCTGTTCGCTCCCATTCATTCACCGAAGTTACATCTTCTTCTTCGGACCGACAAATACTTCCATACATCATTTTGTAGATACACTCATTCCTGCTTGTATTGCAGTGAATAATGTAGCACCAAAGTGCACTAGAATTATGTTATCGTAAAAATCAGCGACACAAAAGTGCACAAAGACAAACCCCATCACATAGTTATATTGTGCTGGCTGCAAAGTCCCTTTTTGTTCAAAAATCTTCATTATTTTCTCTACAGCTTCTTCGACTCCTTTATGCTCAACCACAGCTCTAGCAACACAGTAGGGTTCACCTTTCTGCAAATTATATGTATGAATGAACAGTTACAAAAAGCAGATAAACTGACATACTTTTTTTTCGCTGGGTACAATACCCTGAAATGATAGCGTTTGTTTTTCTTCGACATTCAGTTTCGCCATATAGTCCAGAAATAGTTTTTTGCCATGTTTTAAAACATCGCGACGTTCACGTCCGGCTACTGCAATCATGTCAAATCTTTGCAAATCGATAACAGAAGCTTGTAAATAAATCAGTAACAAAATGCTCAAAGTATCAAAAGCATCGAGTCCGTCACTTACCTGGTTCAAGTCGTAGGTCTATAAACTTACTAAAAGCAATAAGAGCTTTTATTATACTTTTACGAGAGCCCACACTAACTCCTTCTTCTTTTAAACGCTTCATATATGCATGCACAATTTCGCACGAATAGATTGCATCGTCGACTGTTACTGTTTGGTTTATTCTGAAAATCCGGAATGCCAAAAAAAGCTCCTTAATTTACGAGAAACAACGTACCGTTTTCGCGCTCTCATAGCTGCAAGCATAAACCGATTTATACAGGACACATAACCCCATGTACCGTTTTTCAATGGATTGCCTTTCCTTGCCAAAGCATCCGGCTAAACAAAGACGAAATTTGAGTTAGCGCTTGTTCGTAAACATATAGACGGCTTCAACATAGTGTTTACCAGTGCTTCAGAAATATATTCTTCAAATTCTCTAAGCAAGGGATGCATCCTTCCATCCAGTTTACGATAATACTTCAATTCGACGTCCACTTTTCCCTGCCATTCTGAAATGTTAGGTGCAGTGATTCAATAGTTATGGCATAATTCACGAGTAATTGTCAATGTTTACTATTCTTTTGTTTCTTTGGCACAATGTAGTCCTCCTTATAGTATCCTGGTGCTTGATCATCCATTTCATAACAGAACATAAGTTCGACATTTGGCGCAGTTTTGAACACTTTTTCCACTGGTCCACCTATAACATTCATATAAAAGGTATTCGTATGTGATTTTCTTAGTTTCTTAAAATGCTTTTTAAATTTCAATTTAAATTTCAACCTTCGAAAGTCGCGTCTCCAAACTGCGTGTAGAAAGCGGACGTTGTTGTCTTTGGCGTAGTCATTCGTGAAGTACCTTGCTTCGCTGCTTTACTAGCCTCGTAACTTTGTATAGCTTGGGACTTCGATGTGGATTCGGCTTCCATCATATCAATCGCACTACTATCTCTTTCTAGGGCATCTTCTTCTATGTGAGCGTAAGATGTACCAGGTTCTTCTTCACGCTGCATCGCATCTCTTAACTCTAATCTGCGCCCCATCTGCAAAATATTTGAATACCTTATTACATGTATATATGTCAATTATTTGTCGTTAAATATGCTTACTTCTTGAACGCTTTCTTCTAGTCTTTGCATTCCCACATCCATTTCCGCACGAAGCGCATATTTGTTTCTCTCAACACGTTCATAAAATTCCTAGAATAACTTTTAGTTAAATCTCAGATAAGAAAATAATTCAAATAGATTCAATGCATTGTTCACTTGCCCCTTTGATTGGTATTCCACAATTCTTAATTTGCTGTGTGAAATCGCGATAAATGCACCATTCTCCGTAAGTTGCTGGATTACGCACAAGAGATAAATCTATTTTTGCTCTGCCCATGTATTGTGTGATGCCACATCCTAGCTGTTCGATAATCTATAACAAAAATAATAAATTAATTAAGATTAGACGGTTGAAATTTTCAGAAATCATCCACTCAACTTACCTTAAAATCCATCGTTCCTTTTTTAAGCTCATCTTTATGCGCCTTGAGCAAATGTTCGCGCAGACGGAATTCTCCTTGCTTTCCACAGACGACGCAAAAATGAGTCCCCTCATTTGAAAATTTAGGATAGAACATTTCTGGAATTCAAGTACTTGTTATTTACAACAAGTTCCTGCAACAAATTGAAATCCATTACCTTCAAATATTTTTGGGGGTAGAAATCTCACGATACGTTCTTCTTTGAGTCTTTCAAAACTTTCCTTGGCTGCATTGCCGATCTCCAAAACTTCTTTGTACTTTTGTGCCCGTACACGTTCAGCCATTTTTGATGTTTAAAAAATTATCGGATCAAGACCTACAAAGCTTCAAAACGAAACACTTATGGTAACATAACGATGTAAATGACATCACTATGTTTGCAACCAAGATTGCGAGATATATTGAGCGTGATGAAAACACTTTCTGGTTCAATACACTACTCGTTCATTAATATTTATTATATACAAAGATGTTCAGCTTCTAATCCAATTATATTTTATATTCAAGCAGCAACAATTTTTATTGGCTCTCTTTGAGCTTCTTTGAGTAATTCTTGGATTTCAACCCATCGCTGCATCGCTCTTAACTTACTCCACAAGAAAAAGCTCACTGATAATGAGGAAAGCGCAATTAACAAACTGAAAGTCGCAAGTAAGAGACTATTCAAGTGGCATCCATAGCTGTACCATGCTGCTCCATCATCGTGATTATCGTCAGGACCGACGATAGGTTCAAACGACATATTTGACACCTGAGAGATAGCTGCTTTAGTAAAATCATTTAAGTCATATGGTATGTCCGCTCACTGGTAACGTAATTTGCAGCTCTATTGTCAAATTGTCTGTTGTCACCCGTGCCTCCACCACTGCTAGACCCACATAGAGTACTCCACCTTTCGGTATCTCTACCACGGTGACCGGCTCTGGAACTTCAACAGGGGTGTGTATCGTCTCACCCACTGATTGATAGTGCATACTTTTCAAACGGGTAGCGAGCACTATGGTTCTTAGCAGTGGCTGCACAAGCGTAAACTAAAATGCATATATAAATAACAAATGTAAAGATGAATTATGAGCAGCAGCTTAACTTACATCTTCTCTAGTAGAATCGTACGTTAACAAAGCGCAGCCATCGCGATTTTTTCGGTCCAAAGTGCAAGTGTTGCTTTGGGGCTGTGTTTTGCAGAGGAATACCGATGACATTCTATCACAGTCGCTACGAATGTCATTGACTCTTGCAAGTGCGCTAATGTTACTGACATTCATGGACAGCGGCAAGATAAAATGCGCGCCAAGATCATGAGTGGTATACGTCTCGCCATCGTCGCTAAATTTGCCTAAAGGCACTATGCGCAATAGATATCCGACATCCTGCTCTTTTGTGATTGGATAGCAAACCTGAAAGCAACTATCTTAATCTCTTTATATTAGATGATTTATGCTTGCCTCTACTTCCATCAAGTGTTTGTTCATTGAGATCACTGTAGCTATCAAAGTGTTGCCAGCGGCAAAATATCTATTCTTCAACATGGATGCGTTGAAACGCTTCTCGCCCATAAGTCTTGCGATAGCTGATAACAGATTACTGTCACCACCATGACTAATAATTTGATCTGCAACACGCCCACGACTGAACAAGTCATTTAGTGAGTTTTGTACTGCAAAGACCAGCTGCGTTCTGACATGCGCAAACACGGACTCAAAGCGATTCCTAAATAGAGAGGTGTTGGATTTATGAAGATGAGAAAAATGATTCCACAATTTTTTTTACTTGTTAATTTGTACTTCCAATATCTTTGCCAAATTATCAAGTTTCTTGTAAATTGCTATGAGCTCCATATCCAGGTGCTGAAAACGGCAAATTTGCTTTCGCAAGCCAATTTTACTCAGAGTACTCACCTGCAGTTGCTCGCCTTTTACAAAACTACGCATCAGGCTTGTTACACCATTATATACAAGTTTTCCGATCCCAATTCCTATTCCAAAAGCAATGAGCCCAAGTCCGCCAAAGAATGTTACTTGCGCCGTGCTGGATTCGAAGAATTCATCGGTGAAAGTGGAGGATCGTACTAATAAAACTGACTTGTAATGTGGCGTGTTACTCCTATATCTTTCGAATAGTTTGCTCATTTCTTCCATATGTTCTTTCAAGGCTTGTTCCTTTTGTGCAGCAAACACCTTTTTATTGACAAACTTATCATTATCAAAATCTGCGTTTATAAGACATTAATCTCGGTATCACCGATAGCGACGTACCTTTGCGCGCAAAGCTTGATCCAGTGTATTGTTATCTTTTAGAGTGTCTTCAAGTTTCTCCAATATATGATTAAACATATCTCCGTTTGTGTAGCTTCCGTAATCTGAATTTTGCCACTTTTCGTTTTTGAACAGCTCAAGGTAGTCACTCAAAAATTCAAGCCAATGTCAGGTATTCATAAAGAAGTCAAAGTAAATCTCAAATAATCTATGTAGTAATGCACCTAGCAGCACGATCCCACATTCCTCCTCACGCTTTGCTGCAAATCCAATCACTTCACCATGAAATCCGTTTTCATGAAAAATTCTTTGATTCAATTCGGGCAGATGCGGCAACCCTGTGGTCGACACAGCATCCATCTTCGTCGCATAAAATACGGCATGTGTGCTTTCGGAGAGAAGCACAAAGACAGTGATGATGGCAGGATTAAAGCAGAGCATCACCTGATATGAGTAACTTCATCATGTAATCGGGAAGACTAACATTACTTCGACGGTTATCAACGGCATACTCAAGAAAGTAAAGCGAAACGAAAGCACGTCTACAAAGGTTCATAGTATAACATCAAGAGGCTCGACGTGTGCCGCATGCACATGCACATGTCAGCTCACGGAATAGAACTGTAAATTCGAGCCTACTTCGTGATCACAGAAAGGAAAAATTGTGCTTTGCATCTGAGATTTTAATGAATTAATCATTAAGAAAAATCATTGTCTTTTTTAACTCAAGCTTTTGTAAAGCTGCAGCGCTCAAATTTTGGCGGCACAAACAGCGTGAGAATCTAACACGAAACAAAAAGTTTCGGCCTTATTGACCGAGTCTGAGGCCCATTGTTAATATCGAGTAAAACGTAGCATGAAGTAAAGTAAAGAGTAAAGATGGCGAAAAGCCAAGCGTATACTATCGTTCAATCCTTGTTGGCCTTCCAGACTATGATTTCGTTGAGATATTGAATTCTGAAATTGTGACTTTTCCTGTAAAATCACATAAGACTGGCTGTCAGCTGTAAGCCCTGCACACTTCGGGCTAAGCTGGAACAGCATTATTTCTATTTTACGTCTGAAATACTATCGTTCAGTCCTTGTTTGGGCCTTCCAATCTATGGTTTCGCTGAGATATTGTTGAATTCTGAAATCATGCCTTCTGTAAATTGTACCTCAAATTTCGCACAGCGATTTTCAAGCTACTTTTCTTAAGGTAACCTAAAAACAATTGGATTTCATGACGTTGTCAGAGATAAATAATGGTATCGCTGACAAAGATGAATAAAATTTCCTCGAATTCGCCATATGGCTTCCCTCGACCGTTTGTCATGTACTTGGACAATACCAGACTCCAAGCTTTATTCTGAAACGAATTACAAGCAACTTTTAATTTTAGGTAAGGCAAGCGGGTATATACCCGTCAAGCGGGTATATGCCCGCCGAGCGGGTATATACCCGCTTTAGGTAATAAAAGCGGGCATATGCCCGCCGAGCGGGCATATACCCGCTTTTCCTTTCCAATCTCGTGTAGGCTTAAGAAGAAAGAACAAAATATATGTGTATCGTCGAGTTTTTGACAGCACGGACTGGCTGTAAAGAGCCCGTGCAGCGCGGTTGAGTATCAGAGCAGGACTTGCGCATTAGCAGCTTGTATGGTACGAGCGTTCGGACGAGCGGCGCGGCGCGTGCTCCGCACCTGCGGTCAATCCGTGCGGTCATCAACTAGACAGTATACATATGCAATGATTATTATGCTACGGATGTCTTCAAGAAATCAGTATAAGTCACAGCAGCTCAGAAGAAACGTATTCCGAAGACTGTAAGCGTAGGTGCATAGGAACGACGCGAAAGAGCGTTATGAGAACAAGACGTAAGACACAGATAATGTATTGGTATGTATGAAGAATAAGATCAACTGTTATAGATACGAGGAATGATACCCTTATATACCATACTTCATTCCGCAATATGGTATATGAGCCGCCACCGAGAGCACAAGTCGGAATTCCCGTACCAAACCTCGAGCTAGGAGGATACTGACTGGCAGCCCGAGCCTCCCCTCCACGACCACAGGCTGATGCCTGGCCGACTAGTCATCCATACCTATTGTATTGATCTTATGCCGTTGTCGTGTTCATTCACCTTTGTGGAAATTGTCTTATTTGCATTTAGTAGAATAATAGATAAACTGTTAGTCTGGCTAGTGTTCGGGTATCTACCAGCCTTAGCCGCTTCCACGCTACGTTGACTAGACTCAGTAGAGCCCGCTATCGAAGAAGAAGATGTTTTTGGTGGTTAAAACCCGGCTCAGAGTTTTTACATGCACATATTTGCAGAAATGAGTACTTCCTGTATTGCAGAGTAATAGTCCTATAAAAGGGAACTACAAAGGCCCACCATACTTTAAACTATTTGCTTGGCCATGTTAACATGTCACATAAACATTTAATTTTTCGAATAATATTCGAAAGTCGAATGATATTCAATATTCGAATATGCTCGAAAGTTGAATATTCGAAATTTTCAATTTCTGAGTATATTCGATAATCGAATATTCGAGAAAAATTTCGATTTCCCCCAAGTATAATCCTTAGTTCAACCTTTTAAATTCCGAAGAATTCACGAAGAAATTCCCATAATGCAAGAACTACATTTCTCATAAAAACCTTTACTTTTCCCAGCCATTGAAGTGTTTATAACTTCAAATTCAAAAGCTAGTCCATATTATGCCACTCCCAAACACTTTGTCGTACAAGCATCACTTTTGAAGGCATACGGACTAGTCACTTCTGAATCAATGTGTGTTTATTATTAGTCAAAGCTTTACTTTATGACTGTGTCTAAAGCTTGCCCTTGTAATTAAGTTCTGGTCAATTTCTTGGCTCATCAACTTGAATTAAACTGAACAGCTGGAAAATTTACTCGAAATTGTAATTGTTGACTTTGCTGTTATAATGACTTTTATCAAATTTTTTCCCATAAGGACTCGTGAAATGTTGCGCGCTATGTTCAAAGTCACACATCATTTGGCGAATGCCTAGAGTATACTCAAAGAAAAATTCATTTCTAACATCCAACAATATACTAGAGCTTTTCCACATCTTTCTCTCGTTATTATGCTTCGTTATCTTAACGCTGACGTAAGCCTTGATTTTCGATGCCTAAAACTGACGAGCTATTTGCATATTTAGACTCATGTGTGTACAATTTACGCAATACTAGTTATCGTAAGCTTTTGGCTTCTAAGCCTAGCCGGCGCCATCTGCTTATCATTCGTAGAAGTCTACTCAGCACTTTGCTATCAGTAGTATCAGGTGGCATTCGCTTTCCAAGAATTTATATTTTGATTTTCTCAGATCGAGCGAAAAGGGAACGTTCTAAGAAGTTTGGTTATGAACCGAATTATATCATTGGGAAATCAGTGGGACTGTAAAAAAAATTTCTTTATCGAACCTATCTTCATTAAAAAAATCATTGGCCGAAAAATATGTACAAACAAATATGAGCAGGTAGATTTTCTAGTCTTCCAGAGCTGGCAGTGGACGTGATGATGCGTCATCTGAAGGCGGTGGAGGTGAGATGATATCAGTGGCTTTGTCTTCGCTTTGAGCAGGAGTCGAAGTTTCGGGTTCTTCGACAGGTCTCTGAAAATATTGGGAGTATGCATAATAGTGGAGCTTTTGCACTTTTCATGCTCTCGCCCAGTACCGTGCTTAAGAAAGTTGGCTTGGCCCGAAAGGGTACGGTAATGGGCGAGAGTCTGAAGTTTCAAGTGTTTGGATGAAGTGGGTGAGGATAAGTTCGTCAAAACTTGAGTTTACATAGTTTTTTAACTATAAGGTTAACTGATTTTCATGAATCTTGGAAAGCGTGAGACTTGCCCAAAAGTTTCAAAAAGTTGTTTCAAATCGTGCATGAAAGTTTTAAGAGGCATGGACTGCACAAAATGAATCATGGAGGAAGCGTTTTTCAACAGTACTGTAAACTGCTAAAAGGAGATTAAAGCTACAAGTTGTACAAAAAAGAATTTTTCGCCAAGTATCCTGTTGTTGGAAAGAGCTTATTAAGAGCTTTCGCGGAATTACGAAAAGCCCTGCCTTCATGCAGTTTTGTAAGAACTACATGGTTAAAAACAAAAATAAGCTTTCAAAAATAGTTATTGTAAATCTAGGACAGTTTAACTAGTGCACATTCCTACCTTTTGTCGGCCCAGTCTCAATTTTGACAGATCTGTAGGAGCAGGCTCTTGTGACGTCACTCCTCGACTGGGAATAATTTGAAAACCGAATTTGCGGATATCTTTCAATAGAACATCTATGCGGACTCGAAGCTTTCCTTGAGTGGTAACTCTTGTTACTGGAAAAAAATAATGGCACTTTATCCGTTTCCCTGAGGAACTCAATGATGAGTAATCGTTCCTTGCTCCTAATTCACTTGTCAGGAAATAAAAATATAGTTTCTCACCGTGTCGAGCTTCTGGCCTTGCTACCTGATTCGGATTAACGAATTCAGGTCGCCGTCCACGCAAAATTCCTATAATCTTCTGATAGCTAGATGAGGCTTCCGGTACAAAACATGGCACTATCTTGAGGTGGCTGAAATTACAAACCCTTATGGTATGAAAGAGAATCATGAGTAGTTCGCTCATAAATACTTAGAATGTATAGGCTTAATGAGCAACAGAGAAAATGCACTCGTCGATTATTCATCTGTTTTAAGTGAATGAATGCATATAATCAATTTTGCATCGCTTTCATACTACAGAACACAACGTATACCCCATGTTAATGAGGAGCTCACAAGTCCGTAGCTGTTACGCGTACGCATCGCAAGGCTGATGCGCTCCGTTCGCGTGCGTACGGCTTGGGCCCTTGCCAACCCTCGATCGATGACGTCTGTGGGAGTTGGCAAAATGCCCTGCCGTCCGCTCGCGCACGTGGCGCACGGGATTTGCGGCGCGTGCATGCAAATCGAGGACTGCACAAAAGGGAATAGGTTTTTGATATCGCCTGTAACAAAAAAAGACCTGATAGGGCTTGAAAGCTATATACTTGTTTGGAGAAAAAAACTTTCACATAATTCTTACAAGGGATGGATAATTGGTCGAAGTGGCATTGCCATATAAAATGTATACTTCAAAACTTTAGTGCTTGAGCTCAAATGGGGCCATGATTACTACTAGGGCGTCCCAGAACTTCGCTCCCAGAAGCGCTTTGCAGATATCAAAGTAGATTTGGAAACAGCGTTATATGCTCTATAAAACTGTATACATTTCATATGGAAACGCCATTTCGACCAAGTATCCTCTCCTTGTTAGAAACACTGGAGCTTTTTCTCGCTTACAGTTGTAATCTATCATCATACTCTTTAATAAAGCGCAGGCACCCCCATCTGACGTCAATGTCGGTCTGTTCGTGCCACGTTTGGGTTGTTTACCACTATGCTCCATGAACCTGCACTTTACCACTGCCCTTTACCACTATGCTCCACGAACCTGCACTTTACCACTGCCCTTTTTTGTACAAGTGATCTTTGCCATCAGACTGTCTGTCTTCGCTATTGTTTATCAAGGTTCCTTACGCAGGCACGAGCAGTCAAACGCTGCTACCACAACTCCTAAGCGGTGAGATCGATTAGTCTCATAACCGCTTCACGATATTTCGCTTTATTTCAGCTACGATTTGACTCCATTATCCGAATCTAAAGACGGGTAAGGTATTCTACCATCGTTTGTTTCATCTGAAAGGCTATCATTCCCATCGCCCTGTGATACCTGCCTTTTCGCACCTCATCGTTTCTGTGACTATTTCTGATTCTTACAACTATCTCTCCTTTTATGCAACTCTGATCGCTCCTAGAGCAACAAAAGCGCACCAACATATGCAATCTAACTTTTATGAGCAATTTTTCATTTATGTTAAAATTATATTAGATTTGAGGATTTCATAATTGCTGCAAAGTTCTATGCCTCAAGAAGAAGTCAATTGAAGTTTTTTCTGAGAAACTCGAAATAAAAATGAAGCGATTTGAGCAGCAATCCTCCAATGTGGCTCCAATGTGGCTGCAATTATGTGGAATTTTTCCAGAAGCTGAGCAGTTTTTCTGAGAGTAACGTTTTGATCTCAAAACGATCATCATCTGCCATTTTGTATCAGTAAATACAAAAAAAACACGGTACAAGTATATTCAAACCGAAGAATTGGCAAAACTGACCAAAAAATCAATGATTCTAAAAAGATTCTATCAATTATCATTAACAATATAATGATGCTGTTTCCGTAATTTTGTCAAAACATTGCACAACCTCAAAATCGTATAGACAGTGTTTGGATGAACAGTTGAAATTGGATATACACTTTGATAGTAGCATTCTTGATTATATTCAAGTCAGTAGCCTACTAAGATGAGCTGGAAATTGAGGTAGACACTGGAGTTGGGCTTATCATATATGTTGAACAATTTGAAAAGCCCATATAGAACGCGAACGGGAGTTTGGAATTAGAATTTTTGAATTGAAAAGACTCTGAGCAAGCTTCCAACAACGCATATTTCGTGATGAGGAAGGGATGTTCTTTGATTTAGAAGATTTTGTAACTATAAGATGGAACGTTGGCTAGAGCTGCAGCGATGTTCGCCCGCGGCCCTTTCATGACCGGGGACATCGCTTAATTCACCCCAGGTTTACATACGGGCCCAAAAGATCTAAAGGGAATGAAATATTAAGGTAGTTCGTAGGGACAGTCGATGAGGAGAGCAGGGCCCCGGGTGAAAAGAGTCAGGAGGAATGTACACAGCTGTAGCTGGGAAAAGCTTGCCGAGTTTGTGACGTGACGGCCACTTTGTCAAAAAATTTCTGATGTGAGAATTTGAGGGTATCCGAGGATTTTCACAAAATGTGTGTGAGCCACTTTGGCAGCTACAGTTTGTCGAAAGGTGATCACGCTAAAAGGTTGCCTCAAAACCGCACGAAAACGCTAAGGGCTTGCGGCATTTCCTTGCAGGGGAGTTTAAAGAAAAGGTGGGAACAGACAGGTCCCAACTAACCACTATTAGCAAACAGCAGACATGACGGAAAATCTTGGCGTGCGCGGCACAACATGCCAATTTTGGCTTGATTCGGGGGACTGTAAAGGCGCAGTTCGCATTTTCTCAACAGCAGCACATTTGGGGCAAGATTCGAAAGCGATTAAGTAAGATCTGAAGGATGTGGAATGGCAGAAAAGATTGGTAGTTCGGGAGTTTCATAAAGGAAATTGGATGAAAAAGAATGGGAGGAGAAGGGGATGCAGTTTGGCTCAAAGAACTCAGGAGACAGCAATACGCAAGTTTGCAAAGCGCAAGAGCATACCTACCTGGAAAGCTGGGAGGAAGCGGTTGAAATTCTGTTGGCACTTTTGTTAATAGAACTTAGGAAACCACATAAAGCAAAAAAGATCCTCAGAATTAACTTTGATAATTTCTGGGTTTTTAAATGTCTGAAAAATCCGTGCCATACTTTTGAAGAAAAGGTTCCCAAGTTCTATCTTTGACAGTCAATCTCACTACACACACATAGCCAGTCCGAAGCGCCGCGAAGCGGCGCTTTGGACTGGTAATCTATATTGCAGAAACACACAAAGCAAAAAGAAGCTTGCGCGAAGAGTAGCCGCTGCAGCACGGATAAAGAATTTTCAGAATAAATGAAGGTCAAGTACAGTCGCAATATATGAATCTTTCAAATATCACAGTTTAGTTTCTTTTCTTGGTAACCAAACCATTTCAGAGCCACTATCAGTTTGCTTGAAAAACGATGTTTATCATGTTTTTACTTTCAAAAAATGGAGTAGAAGTAGCATACTTCTATCCTCAATAAATTCAAAAATCTTTTCTTTCGTCAATTTCAAAATGAACGTAAAATAACGATGCGATGCCCAACTTTGTTTGGAATATTAGTCTACAAATAAAGCAAAATAGCGGAGATGCAAAGATATTAGAAGTTTACTAGCTTTATGAAGGTTTGATGAACCTTCACCATTTGTCTAGGAAGCTAACGAAAAGATGACTAGGAATATAAAACTGGCTCACAAATAGTGATTTCTGCAGAGTTGACTTCAAATAGAAGCAGAGACAACTTTTGGTTGATGTATTTAGACAGAAAAGGAGAGAAAGGGTGGAATGTGTGTAGAAGAAAAATTCACTGAAAGTAAGTAATAGGTTATCCCATTATTTCTTCAATTACTTTCTGTGTGATTTAATTTTGTGCTTTCAAGCGCAGGAACCTTGAAGCCTGCGATTGTGTAAATTGTCCTATTATTGAGACTGATACAGGTTACATGTTGATTACATGAAAACATTGTTTGCCTAAAAAATTATGCGGCCCTCATATTCTTAAGGAAAAATGTAACATTTTATGAAATACTTCAAATTTGACACATTGACGACAACATAACCACATGGTGGGTCATGCAATGTCTGCCATCTGGGACAGTGACCCACATGGTGAGTACGGCTTGAGCTTTGTTGAAAAGATTGATATTTTGGAATGCATTCATTTCAGAACTTTTCTAACGCTCTAAACCTAAATTGCTTGTGTTTCTCGCTTGTCTCATAGTATTACTGTAGGTATACTGTAGTCGAAAATCTGTATAATTTCAGCTAAAAATTTTTCAACTTATCCGTAAAAAACATTGTCCCAGGTGACAAACAACTAAAAGCGCACGTTGTCGTCAACGTGTTAAAGGAAAAAAAATATTAAAAAAATGTGCATTACCAGATGAATCGGTGGGTAACCGAGATTGATAAATAGCAGTAAAAGATTCACTCACGTTCCGGGAACAGTCGGAATGGGCAATGCACCATATCCCCGAATCACATCGTGTCCCATGAAATCGTGCCCGTAACATGAAAACACTAGTTGGGGCCCTGGTAATCATGAACAGTTATTGCACGACAAAGATAAATAAAGTCTTGTTTGCTTATCACTTACATCTGTACGGATTCGTGCTCGAAAAGGTGGCCGTAATAGGAAGATCAGGAACAAAATGACGAGCTTCGCCTTTGAAACATGTAGCCGAAAGTCCCTCGATAGCACCAGCAACATGCTTCCAGTCAGGTCCAAAGCTTGATGAGAATCGTACGCATAACGATGAACAGTCAGGAAACTAAAAGCAAGTGTAGAAGCGTAGGTAAATGATAACATGTACATATCGCTAAGAGCGGCTTGCTAATATCTCAAATTCTCAAAAATAATTGGACGCTCATGAAAAACCCTTGGACTGAATCTCCAAACTGTCCTAACATTGGGCTTGATTGTGCATCAATCAAAAGCGTTTGAAGACCCCTTTTCTGTACATACAGTGACCGCCAAAAAGTTGCGGACAAGCCTCCCTCCCAATTTCATCGCTCTATTTCAGAAGGAAAACAAGGATAAAAAAATGTAGTAATTGCATGAGGTGATAGAGCTCTTCAAGATCTACAATCTACACTTTGCGTTTTCGAAAAACATATATTCTAAAAATTTTAAAAAACTTTTTCTTAAAAAAGTCCGAAAATGGCCGCGTCACAATGTCGCGGACAATAACTCTTCGAACTCAAAAATTTTCTTTTGAGTCCTATTCTGAAGTGGAAACACAAGTGATCCAAACGGGTAAGCATACTACTATACAGAGCTCGTCAAAGAGTACACACTGGTTATGGTTGCTTCCCAGAAAACACAAGCTTGAATTTTATTTTGCTTCTTTTCAAAAAACGCTTCTGATTCCCTGCTTCAAGCCAAATTTCTTGACATGGAAAACCATGCAAGACATTCAAACAAAGCTATTCGGATAAAATGGATGCCCTTTGCCATCTTCTATGCATCGAACGTGTGCTGGTGAGTTTCTTTGCTGAACATGGCTTCTGACAGTGCGTGTACATGACCCCACCTGCACCTCACCACTGACTTGTACCAATTTGCAGGCTTGTAACTCGGCTTGTAGTCAATGTGTGAGCCTGCACTTAGGCTCATTCGAAAGAACGAGACTTCCTCTACACGATGGTATGCAAAAGAGATGAGTATAGGAAACAGCGGAGATTTGGCGGATGGGGTGGAAAAACGCGGCCTCAGTGGTGGTTGGAGTGAAGGCTCTTATCAACACCAAAACAGTTCTATAGCTTCAAGATGGATCTATTACAAGAACATTGACAGTTTTGAACTTCGAGGATTGAACTGGTAGCGAAAGAAGCTCTATTCAACTTTAGCTGGATATCCTCATCTTACCACTAAGGCCGCGTTTTTCCACCCCATCCGTCAAATCTCCGCTGTTTCTTACACCCATCCCTTTGCATATCATCGTATAGAGGAAGTCTCGTTCTTTCGAATGAGCCTAAGTGCAGGCTCACACATTGACTACAAGCCGAGTTACAAGCCTGCAAATTGGTACAAGTCAGTGGTGAGGTGCAGGTGGGGTCATGTTCACGCACTGTCAGAAGCCATTTTCAGCAAAGAAGCTCACCAGCACACGTTCGATGCATAGAAGATGGCAAAGGGCGTCCATTTTATCCGAATAGCTTTGTTTGAATGTCTTGCATGGTTTTCCATGTGAAGAAATTTGGCTTGAAGCAGGGAATTAGAAGTTGTTTTTTGAAAAGAAGCAAAATAAAATTCAAGCTTGTGTTTTCTGGGAAGCAACCATAACCAGTGTGTAGTTCTTGATGAGCTTTGTATAGTAGTATGCTTACCCGTTTGGATCACTTGTGTTTCCACTTCAGAATAGGACTCAAAAGAAAATTTTTGAGTTCGAAGAATTATTGTCCGCGACATTGTGACGCGGCCATTTTCGGACTTTTTTAAGAAAAAGTTTTTTAAAAATTTTTAGAATACATGTTTTTAGAAAAACGCAAAGTGTAGATTGTAGATCTTGAAGAGCTCTATCACCTCGTGCAATTACTACATTTTTTTATCCTTGTTCTCCTTCTGAAATAGAGCGATGAAAAAGGGAGGGAGGCTTGTCCGCAACTTTCTGGCGGTCACTGTATATCACATCGTATTGACCATCATTTTTTATACGTTGTTGTTCCCTTTCTCCGCTTTGACACCTCACAACTGTACACAGTGCTAATACTTCTTCAGCTTTTTCGTGCAGTAAGATTTCTACATCGTTAGTTCAAAAATTATTTGCAAGAGAAAAGGAGATAAAGTTGATTGTCAAGAAAACTGACGGAATGGTGGACGAGCAAGCAATTTTTCATCAAAAGCGGTTAGAAGACTCAAATCACACTTCTGCCATAGAATGGAAAGCGGCCTTTTGGATTGGAGGGCCTGTCGAAATGTGCGAAGGTCCACAATAGATACAGAAAGATAACTGAATCTTTTTGACATTGTTGCTCTGTAAACACAATGCCTAGTTTTCTTGTTGCAAAAGAAAGGAGAAAAGGGAAAAAAGCTGTAGGCATAATGGTTTGACCTACAACTATTTGAAGATGGATGAACTGATGCAAGTGAGAGTCTTATGTGAGTATTAGGCCTCGGTCAGAGTTCACGCGATTTGTCGTCGCGATTTAGTCGCCTCGATTTTCATTCATTTTCATTTTACATTCAAAAATTTCGAGCTGTGAAAATATCACAACCGAAATGCAAGCTGATCGGCATGCAATGAACTCGTAACAGTTGTCTTGTAGCGACTGAATCGTGACGACCAAATCGCGTGAACTCTGTCCGAGGCCTTAGGTTGGCTAATAAATAACTTTGGTCGCTTTTGCGGCTCTTACAAATGCTGCAGGCACATTTCTGTCCATGTTTGGTATTTTTCGAAAAAGCATTTCAATGTGAATCGAAATATAAATTTTGTTTAAGATGAACTTATCTTCCAAGGAAGAAAAGCCGCGAAGTAATGAGAAACCACATTTTTCTCATGCGCGAATATGAGGAAACTTGGTTTCTTTGATAAAAGATTTTCAAAATGGCAGATCACAATTTCTGTTGCTATTTACTAAATTGGGAGATCTCTACTTCATCCGTATACCAAATTGCTGTTCTTTACATCCATTACAGCATGAAAACGAAGCTTAGGAAGCCAAAGGATTGGGCTTATGGAAATTTAGCCTTGTTGAGGCATAACTGCCTTAACTGATGATAGAATGTCCTGGATATTTGACATGTGATAGAGGAAGATTTGAGGTACTTTTCCACAGAAATTCAGGGATCGAAAACGACAAAAAAAATTTCCATGAAGATTTGCATGCGAAAACGAACTTATTTTTTAGCCAACATAATAGTTTACTGAACTTTTAAGAGCTTGTAGGGTTCTCAAAACTAAATGTTGGTGTCTCTCGAATATTGTGGCCAGCTGCTCAATAGCTCCATCGTTTTCAAACTGTATAGCGGCAAATTATAATAAAATAGCAAGCAAATTTCTAAATTCTGGTGCAAATTGCTCAGAAAAAATTTGATGTTAATCACACAAGCATATTTCATTGATCACTCACCTCCGCCGATTCGACATGGCCATTGATGAGCAGCAGAAACGCTTTTTCTTGCGCCATTGCTCTCCTTCTACCTCTGGAGACGCATTTCTTGCTGGATTATCCGAGGATTCTGAAGTAAAAACCTTAGAATGTTCAAGAGTGAAATCGGATCTAAGGAATCTTTGTTCAGCTCTTTCAGCGCATCGCGTTAAAAATTGAATATTTGAAAAGAACGAGTTTATATGCGCAGGAATTCTGAATAGCTAATCCGCAGGAGTAAGAGATGAATGAAAAATGTCAAATAATTGGATAAAGGATTTTATAGACGGTGAAACTGCAGCTCAGCTGTACTCACCCACACATAATCCCCGTTGGCATGGCAACGCGACAACCGACATGCGAGATTACTTGGGGAGTTTAGGCCCTAGCGAGCTTCAGGGTAGGATCTGGTGTTCGAGCCACATTTTTAAGATATACACAGGGTCTCAAAAAGTGAACAAGTTATACAATTACATCACTTTACTGGTCCTCGGGTTGTCAAAGTCAAACGGGTAAAGTTTTGCCAGGTTCTACCTCAAGGAATCGCGCAAATCCAAATGAAATGTCTGCTTTGCTCTGATAGCTCATTGCATTTGATATTCGTAACTAGTTCGGAGAAATAGATGCAGTAAATCTACTACACTCTTCTGTGAGTCTAGCTCACTCATAAAAAAATACTTTTTACGATTCATTACGGTAGACAAGTTCTTGAAGGTTTCGAGTTGATTTGGATTATGCGGGTTAAGAGCGCGTAAATCAAGCGCGCAGTGGCGGAAGAGTGGCGCCCTCTACCCTCCCCTCCCGCACCCCCCCCCCCCGAGGGTGGATCGCGAAAATTATGAAAGTTACATACATGGGTTATAAAAATGTGCAAATGACTTGTTTGTACTGTTGGATAATTGCAATAGTTTTTCATATCTTCTCAAAAATCCAAATTAGCTTAGTAAAACAAATTTTTTCGAGGCGTGGTCGACTTTTCCCAAAATTTCGGCTTATAGGTCCCCAAAAAATTTTTAAATCCATCACGAAAGAATTTTCAGAAAGCGCGTGGCTATTGCCACGCATCTTCATTTGAAAAAAAATTGTTGGCTCTCCCTTGAACAGGGGACTTCCACTGAGAGCTCGGTAGTATAGCAAATACGTTACGTTACGCGTGATCTAATTTCTTTTGCAGCCTTAAACTAGTTAATTTCGAAAAAGTAAGCTCCTTTCCAAGAAGATGAAACGAGCTTCCCGAGCGAAGATTGCTGAGCGAATGTGATATTTTCGTATCAGTTCATCAGTTTCTAATAAAATGTCATTCATTCTGTGCCTAGGAGACGCGAGACCGCATTGCACACATCTAATCAAGCCTATTTATGTATATAGCAGGTTTGTACTTGTTCATTTATCTCTTCAGGTTTATTTACTCTTCGGAAACAGGGAAGAACAAACTCAAACTTGTCAAGACAATGTCCGCAATGCGATCTCGCGTCTCATAAAATAGATGATAGAAGACTTTCACTAATTCCAGAATGTGAAGAGAAATACAATATTTTGAAAGGATGTAGAGAATTCGAAAATGATCTTTTGCCCAGGTAATAAGTTATGGAAAGTCGAAGAAATATATAACTTGGAAGTCATAATTCTTGCCTTACTTAATGCTGTAAGTGTTGAAAATTGCAGTTATACCAATTTTTGCACGAAGGACAACTTTTCCAGGATGTTCTACTGCACTAACTTGGAATCTAAGCCAAGAGTTGTTTTTCGGGGGAGATCACAGCCTGGTGACAAGAGACCAATTGAAAACTTCACGCCAAAGTTTATTTCTAGCTATCAATAAGAAAAGCTAGACATCTACGGCCCTCCAAAACCTTTCATTCTGTTATTCCAATATCAAAGCTGTTCGAGGTCCGAAAATTTCGCACACCTGACGTCTATCATGGCTCATTTTGCTTTCACTTAAATATGTGAAACTTGCCAACGCTTTGCTATAGCCGTCTCTCCATCTTAGGCTGTGTTCATACTGATCCCGAAGTTCGGGAACAGTATGAAAGTGAACCGGAAGTTCGGGAACACTTCCAGCACAGCGATTATTCGAGCGCTGTGCTGGAACTGTTCCCGAACTTCGGGATCAGCATGAACGCAGCCTTAGGCTCCGTTATTCTTGTCTGCTCCATTTTCACTTTTGCGCCCGATGGAGAAAAGCGCAGCATACACTAGATGTGCAGGCTCGGCGGATTACTGTATTTCCTTTAAATCTTGGGCTGCCTCGTTGAGATTTTATGTTGGCGGCTTTGCTTTTTTCCTTTTTTCGTTGTTGACAGGGATCATGTAGTCTGATTTATTGATGTTGAGTCAATCACTTATACGCGCATCCATTGCTGTCATAGTAGGATATTCGTTTTCAGGATGGAGCAGTACTCCTACTGATCACAAAAGTTTGTGTAGCGAAGAATGCAGCTGACTTCTTGAAAAATGACTTTCAACAGATGCGAATTAGTATTTTGAAGGCGCTTGAAAAAAAACTCCAGACTTTTATAGTATGGAGGGTATAATTGCTTTCAAGAGGTCTTTGGATGTTTGTAGTAATCTGCGTGGTCTGGAGGATTTAGAAAGTAACAGTATTTATCAGAGTATTTTCTTAATAGATTTTAGTTGAGACTTTGAAGACACTTGCAAGAAAACACTTCAGCAATTTGAAGTTAGGAGCATGGTTAACTTCTGTGAAATTCTGATCGATTGGAGTAATAGCAGTGGTTTGGGAAATTGAAGAGGATTCTTGTACCATCCACGCTTTTGAGGTAAAGTAACCTGATTGGGTTTTGGCCTTGATCTGTAGCTTCATCTACAGAAACGTTCAGCAGTCAAAGAAACTCCATATTGTCGAGTGAATCGATGCAGGGCCACTATGAGCAGGCAGTTCACTAGGCTGCTCTAAAATATTTTAGATTAACAATAGTAGGAACTGGATTCTCGCGATTAATCTTGCTACATGGCGATTTCATTTATATCTGTTTTTGCTACCAATCGATTGAGATCTCTTACACTCATATTTTGCGCTTTTTCCTTTCTGATTTGATTTTGACTACTCTGGATGGAGTGGTATTTTAGGATGTTGGCCCGGTCCGTCTCACGTTTGGCCACCCTCTCGCGACGCGGGTTTGCAGCAGCAGCATCTACACCTGCGGCACAGAAGAATCTCAACCCTGAAGAGCTCCGACTAACATTTGCTTCCCCTGACGCGGTAAGACATTCCTCTTGCATCCTATTGCGTTAAATTTACTGCTTTCTTGCGAACTGAACCGAGCTGATTGTTCAGATTTACTAAGTTCACGGATTATCGTTATGATTCATTTTCATACTTAGTAGTGCTTTCTTATTTTTATCATTATATCCTCTTGGGTTGCTTTATGACATAGATAGTACAATAAATTTTCTCATCCAGGCATTTTACAACAATGCCGTGGTCAAGCAAGTTGATGTGCCGACACTTGCTGGTATGGTCGGCGTTCTCGCCAACCACGTCCCCACCATCGGTGTTTTGAAGCCTGGCGTAGTTACTGTTACTGACATGCAAGGTTGGTAAAGGCATCACTTTTTTCATCTGTGCAGTGCCATAATGACTTCTCTCGCTATATATTCAACGAACTAGTGCAGTTTATCTATGTTTGACTCTCAGATAAACCACAATTGATCCTATGCAACAAACAACATAACAAAAAAGCACTTTAGTGGATTTTGAGTTTTATTTGTGTTTTGGTATGATTTCATCAGTTTCGGTGTTTCTGCATAAACTGCAGTTTGATTTTTGTTTTCTAGTTATCATGTTTTACCAGGAGATTATAGTCCAGTGATTAGTTCACTGAAACATATATTTTCTAGGGCAGCAGACGAAAATGTTCGTGTCGTCTGGAACATTATCCGTTAATATCGATGGTTCATGTCAAGTACTAGCCGAAGAAGTAGTAAAAATTGAGGATATCGATCAAAACGTGGGTTTCAGATTGTTTCAAGTTCCATTAAGTTTCGCCTACTTCTGTATATTGAATGTGCACATCCTTCAGGGTGCTGACTAAGTCCAAGTTAGCACTTGTACAAATTTGTGCTAGAACATTCTGCTGCTCTTATGCCTGCCATCGTCATTTTGACAATGGCAGTAGGATAGTAGCTACAATCATCTTCATTGAGTGAGCTGGTTGCGTTTTCTTGCATCCATATATAGTTCCGTTGTCATTTTGATATTTTTTTTGAAGGCTGTGCAAATTACAAAGGGACGAGTAATTTCAACCTTAGCATCTCTGACAAGTGAAGGATACTTGGTCAAAGTGGCGTTTCTATATGAAATGTTCACAATCTTGTAGAGCATGGAACGGTGATTCCGAATCTGTATTCGATAACTGCAAAGCGCTTTGGGAGGGGAGTTATAGGAACTTTTTGAAGTAGAAGTTTGTACGCACGGCTACGATAAAAGCATTAGGAACTTTAGTCTGTGGAAACAGGCTTATGTTAGTAATTACTCCTTCTAAATGTCGGGACCTCAATATTTGTATTCACCTTAGCCAAAAACCCTTGAAAACACACAAACGAACAGGTGTAAAACAATGATTGGAAATACATAAACGATTCCATCCCACTTACTGTTATCATAATTTTCGAAACCATATAAACCATATTTCGAATATCGGAACATCTCAGAAATAAGATTTTTGAGAAAGAAAATATCTGAAAATGGTCGAATAGTTCATTCGAAATCAAACCTGGGTTTGAAAATAAGTTAACATGATTTTTGAACAGAACTGAACACTCTTTCGTTTTGAAAATTTCCGTTATTGCTCATAGATATCCTAGCGAGTCTTTACCTTAGTGAACAAAATTGCTAGAACATAGTGTCTGTATATGCTTCTTTTGTTTCATAGTGTTATTGTTCTATACCCTCTGATTCAACGAGAGTGTCGGCCGGAAGGCGATTGCTCGCACCCGCGACGCAGTCTACGTCCCTCGCCATTTTGCTCCCTGATCATCCTCTAGCTATGATTAGGCCTCGAAGCCCTGTCTTCCAGCCGTTCATGTTGAATCAAAGGGTAACTAATTTGCGGAATAGCGATTTTTAGAATTTCTTTTCTACTTCAAAGTGCGTCAGCAATTTTACACCCTGCTGGAGTTTTACAGTTCGTTCGATCCACTCAATTTAATTCCTGAACCATCTTTCACTGTCTCCATTCATTGCTGAGGTTTTATGCTACGAGATCAAATGGAAAGAAGCGCAAACTTCTACTCAAGAAAGCGTGCAAACTTTTCACTATCATTGTACATGCATATTGTAGGAGGCTCGAACTATCTTAGAATCTGCTCAACGTGATGCTGCTGAAGGAAGTGATTTGTCGAGAGCTGAAGCCTCCATCAGAGTCGAGGTAAGCAGTAGTTCTCGTTGTTGAAATGCACAGTTATTCAGGGTGAATGAAGTTATTTTTCATGCGCTCGTAAATCTTGTGCTAAATCATCGCACCCGACTTATTCCTGTCTCAATCGCTTTGATTCTGGCAGTGATAGAAAGGGTACAAATTAGGGGTTGTGTCTTTGCTAATCTGTTTGTTTCTAGGTTGCTGAAGCTCTGCTCAAGGCCGCTTCTGGCCAACAGTAAAGAGATTAACTGTTAGGCATCGTTGTCAACTCGTGTAGAAAAGTTATCCTGTCTCATTGTCATGATTTTCTCATCGTCACTGCGTTGTTTTCTTCGAATTTTGTATTTTGTAGATGTAGATCATAAGAGCAGAAAAGTAAATATATTCTTAATTCGTTTGGTATAATGCAGCGGTAGATTTTGATGAAATTGGAGTTGAGTCATAAATCTGCTGCAGCGTTCTGCGTTGAATAAGCATGAGTCACAATAGTGGAACGGTATTTAGCGTAAGTCGGATAGTCATAAGTAGTACGTGATCGGATTGGTGAAAAGAGAAACTATGAATAATATTGCGGACCCTTGCGGATGTTATTCGAGTGTGCCATTTCGCGAGTCACCGTTATTGCACTTCGTTGCATTCCATGACCGTTGTTTCACCCTATGTATACCCCTTGTAACCATCGAAGTCAGCAGCATACTCCTTTGCACTCAATGTTCTTTATTGATTGAAGAAAATTTGATGTCTTCCTTAACAGTTTCTATCACTTGGAGACAGAGTAAGTGACACATGGCACATGCGCCAGCTTTTGTGAAGCAATCATGGGCGGGAAAATCAGTTTCAAAGTCCAGCCTAGGTTGTACTACCGTATTCAAGAGAGCTGATTGTTCCGCTCGCTATGGTTACGATCTGGGCTGGAATTTGAAGTTTAAGTTTCCGGCTAAGAAATAATATGAGCTGATATTTAGAGAATAGCCTTGTAAAGATTTTCCGAACTTCTTTAGACTAGAACCAGATACATAAGAGCTACTGGCGAAATTCTCTATGTGTAGTTGGATTTTTTAGCAGGCTTTTTTCCGTAGAAGTTATACGTCAGTGCTGACTTCTTCATTAGTAGTACAGCGTGATTCACAAGGAGTGACTTTTTTTCAAATTCCTGACAAAGTTTAAAATGTCAGGGAACACCGTCGCATAATCTTCTTCCTTGTAGGAACTGGATGATTCATAATTCGGCAAATTTTTCAGTTTTTGTGTGGTGAGGGTGATATCAATGCCGTGAAAATGTCTATAAAGTGCTTTTATCTGTTCTCTAGATCGTAGATTTTCACATAGTATAATGTTGGACTTGCGATTTTACTTCAAAAGTTGGTATTTACTGTAAAGCATATCTACGAACTCACTCTTGAAACCGTTGCCCAATCTTCTTCAAATTTTCATTTTTTACACTTTTCACTCATGGATGGTGCCTTGGTGCAGGTACTGGGCATCATCATGATTCATGAAGTAGGATTGTCCTTTAGACTATGTAGAGTGCCAGCTTTTACTCGATGCTTATAAAATGATGGTAAAAAAGGAGTGTGCCATGAGGAGAGACGCAGAAGCCCGCGCTTCATCTATAACATACCTCAGGAATCACCAACTCATTAACGCTCTTGGGAGTCCCGATATACTATTCGCCTATCTTTCCTTCTTTAGACGGCTCTCTTTAAAAGGCACCCATTGAATGATTTACCACAAAACAAGAAAAATGCAACAACGCAACACAGCAATGAGAGATCTAACAATTAGCAAAGATAGATACTATTTGAAGGCAGCGTCCAGGCAGATCTGGACCTATGGGGATTTTGTGTGGAAAGTAATTTTGGGGCCCTAATTAAGGCACTGCCCAAGCGGCAGCGCAGGTGACTCACTAACGGCTGAGATATATGCCTCCAAACTGGACCCCAGGATCGTATCCGTATGGATTCATGGCGCAATCCATTAGTTTCGCGACCCACGCCTTGCGCCATGAATCCATGCGAAATCGATCCTGGGGTCTAGTTTCGAAGGGAATATCTCAGCCGTTAGAGTACTACCTAAGCTGCCGGTTGGGCAGTGGCTTAGTTAGGGCCCCAAAATGACTATCCACGTGAGATCCCCTTGTGTCCAGACTTGCCTGGACGCTGCCTTTAGCCCATGTCATGGCTTAGTCTTGTTGCGATATACCTGCTCAACTTGCTTTTACCGTCATCCTTCTGGATGTATAGTCTGGTAGACTCGACGGAGAGCGTCTCTGCGGTGACAGCAACATTTGAGTGAAGAAAAAATGCATAAAAACGAACAGTTCGCAACTTTGTACCATATTTTTTCGCTGGCAACGCATGCACACTATGTTGGATATAAAATCTACTAGACTCTAGGTTGAGATCGAATCGCAGCCATAATGCTGTGCTGTTTTACATGACAACAGCAAAGCATTATGGCTTTTCTACATGCAGGCAATGACGCATGAGCGTCTTTATATTCAGTGGGAAGCAACTGCATACATTGTTTTATATGCCCGCCTTCTTTTCCTGTTCATACAGCTTCGCCGATCAAGACATCTTAGAATCCATATCCATTTTAATGCCCTGGAGTTGTCGTGCTAGCGCCGTTGCGGCGCCATGTGGAGTCGTGCGGAGTCGACACGATCCTAGCACGGAGCTGGCGCAGCTCCGGCACAGCATCAACTTTAAACGCAGCCGTACATTACCACTTGTCTTTTCTTCCGTAACTTTCGGTCCAAGTATGCTGTGTAAACTAATTTTTTCAGACCCATAGAGAGTTGCTTTAGCTTTATTGTTTTTTGTAAGACTAGTTAGACTACAAGCATGTTTGAACATCGAATTTCATCAACATTCCGAAAAGGTTTGTTGCCTTTGCTAATTGGGAAAGGATTGCACTTTTCCATTGTACTATCAAGCAGCTTCTAACCTTGCTTAGAGATTAGGTGCTGAAACACCACTGACAGAAAGTACATTTTACTCTACTGAATACAGTGCGGTTCCTTCAAGCTTGAACCCACAAATCCCCTCTTTTTTCACTTTCAAACTAAACATCAGTAAATGGACTCGTCCACAGACGGGCGTGTTTGGTCAATAATCTGTGTATCTGCACATAAAGGCTTTGAAAAGGATACTTTTGTTTTGTATAAGCTAGTAATGAAGCTTCAAACTTCCACCAATAACGCCCACTCAATGGAAGTGGGCAGGGCTGGTGGAGTTTCGAAGCCTTTTTACAGAACTTAGCGCGTGATTTGGAGGGTGGGGTTTGGGCTACGGTGTACTTGGGAGGCCTACTACCTAACAGTACCAAAATCTGACAGTGGTCCATTCTGCCGACCCACTGCCTTTAAAAACGTGCGCATTGCGAACGCATACTACGGAACGTACCAAAACAAAAACTCCAAGAAATGTTTCAAACTGCTAAACAAACTTGACCAGCTATTGTGGTCTTACTACTCCGCGTAAAATCTAGACTCAGAGCGTTTGCATTTGCTGTAACAAAGAGAAATGGAGTTAGAATATTTGGTGGTAAAAATTCTAAAGCTGTTGCGGTCGGTTCTAATTGCGAGAAAATTGAAGGAGAATAATTCCGTTCTCCGAGAAGTGGGATACATGAGCATTTTCAAGCTTTTTGCAATATCTTCTAGCAAATAGATTCTTCTCATATCTTTGGCTGCACAACCATAAAGTTTGTGTTATTGTATTACGTGATGACTACATCCCAATCTAAGCCTTCCCAAACAAATGTTTTTCGAAAAAAGTTTACTACCTTTCTAGGATGTTGTAATGTTATAATGATTCAAGGTATGTACCGAGTTGACAAAGTTTTCCTCATTGGAGCAGTTTTTACTGCTCCAAAAACATTATTTTTGTAACGAGTGATGGTTATCCAAACTCGAAATGAGCTAAAAGTGCATTAAATCTTTTCCAATCTCGTACATGCTAGTCTATCCCGAAATATGCCTTCTTGAAGAAGGCGGGGGAAAAGAGAGGGTAAAGCAATCCCCCATAACAAGACAGGCATAACGGAACTGGTTTGTCATCTTATACATGGCAGATGAGCATCTCGTACGGTGTTATCGCACGAGCGTGAACGACGACGGTGAAGGTTTATGTTCAAATTGATGGCCATCCATAGACTCCAAACTAGTGAACGCACCCTTGCAGGCGCCCTTCGGTCGTTTTGCCCGGGTTACTCGTGCGTATATTAACGCGATTGTGCGAATACGATATCGTACAGTCGTTTCAACATGCCGACGCGATATCGCGCACAGCTCATTAGGTTTACAGAACTTTTAGCGGCCACCCCGGTTGCGAACGCTCATTCCATTGGTTGTTATGGTTCAAGATTGAGATTCACCAATTACTTCCCTGATTCGTGCAATTCTTGTAATAGTTTTCTGTGGGCGTTATCCTCGTTATCTATGGAGCCCAGAATCTTCTATTTTTTTAAAGCAAGTTCCGTAATGAGTACTTACCACTAATCGTGCATTCTACTCGCTCACGTTTCTAACGCCTTTTTAGTTTGAATGACGAGAATATGCGCAGAATTTTAACTGAAATTCGGTTGTTAGGCGTAAGATTCAGCGCCCCATGGATAAGATAACGGTATCGTAGGCAGAAATCGCAGGATAGTATATCCTGTTTAGGCTTTTGGTGACTGAATAAAGGTGCCTTATGTGTTCGTTTAGCCTTCATTCGATCACTTTGTGTAATTGCACTTTTTTGGATTTGCACGGTATGATCAAAATAAGGAAATTTCCCCTCAACTTAGCGCAGTTTTTTGGCATTTCAAAAAATCAAAAGATTTTTCCCTATTGTTAGCGGCCACGTTCAAAAATGTAATCACTCACCACCTCAAAGAATTTAATGGAATTTTTGAATTTTTTTGACTCGTTATTATGCAAACCATTGCTACACATTGAGCAAAATATATGTTACCCCGTAATCCTAATCAAGTCATTTCTCGAGGTAAGTGTTCCTTGATATATATGACTAACGATCTTTGGGTTCAAAATTCCAATTGAACATAGTACTGTCAAGAAAGTGTTGATTGCAATTTTCCGGGAAAGGTTCTTAGTAAATGGAAATTGAATGAGAAACGAGCAAATTTTTGAAATAGCCATACATGCAGTCTTTTATAACGTTTATAGATCTTCATACTAACCGTTAAACACAAAATTAAAGTTTTTTTTTTCAAAAATTTCAGCGTTGCCAGTGTAACATGCTACATACACTGTCATGCCTGATTTAGATAGAAAATTATTTTTCAAATTTCTTGAGCTGATATCACTGCATCAAGATTTCGACCTAGTTGCCCGTCAGAAGCGTCCATATACCCTCAAAGTTCTTATTGCCTAA